TAGATCAAAGGTCGATTAACACTTTCAAAATTAGAATGATTTGTCTCAGATAATTTAGAATTGATAATAAGTCATGGACAGTCTTCCTGATATATCATCGAAACGGAAATACCTCACTGTGATTACATGCGAACTATACTCTCTTGTTTGCTTTATTACCAGAGAGATTGAAAGTTATTTCGCTTCAGTTCCCTACAATAATTAGCCCTCAAAATCTACTCGTATCACAATAGTGCGCTCTGGTTCTAAAAAGAACTGAAATATTCGAAATATTTCGAACGTACGAAGACGAAAGTTTCATAAGAAAAGATATCGATCAAAAGTACAACGGAAAATTTACTCATCAAAATGGAATAAATACGCTGACGCACAAATATTTTTTTTCCCGTAAATGTATATACGCGCAAAGGCTATTGTCGAGTAACTTTTTCGCATTAACCTTTGACACCCTCTGATCAATACGTGTATTCTCCGTACTGCTCTCTATTCATTTCCTATAGTACTGGCTTGGAGAAATTGTTTGACAATGACGATCTTCTTTAGTTGGTGATCGGGTTCCTTATCCTCACGACCTTAGTGTTTGATTCAGCAGTAATGCTGTAATGAGAATTTAGATCCCAGTCACTAAAGGGTTTAACATTAACCAAATTTACTGGAGGGGTATGAACATGATTATTTGTAAAGCGGTGCCTAAATATAGAGACACGAGTAACAGATGCACAGTTCCGCTCCCTAATCCAGAGTGCTGTCCTGCTCGCAAAGTCGAAGCTTTCTCTCACTCAGTCAACTTTTTCACCAGCGCCTCTGCCTCGCTAACCGCACTGCCGTCGACAATGTACCTGTCGACGAACGAATCATCAAAGCAGCTCGTTAAGAAGATCCTTGAAGGTTCCTCCTCCACTCTGTGGACCCTGAACACCTCATATGGTGGAAGCAGTACTTCATCCTCCTCGGGAAAAGCCGAAAGCATCTTAATGGAAGCTCCTATCCTAGTGACAATGACAAACTGACTTCCGTTCGATTTTTTCTGGAAGTCCTCTGCTACTTTGATATTACCGGTGGATGAGGTGTAAGAGCCAAATCGTACTATTTGACTAGGTTTTGCGGTAAATCGTATGTTAACACCGCGGTAAACGATTCTTGTGCGACTTTCTTTGGGCGTGGCCGCGAGAATTTTCCGGCAAGCCTCTCGGAGAAGGTACGATAGAATTGGAAAATCCATGCCATCGCCAGTGTAACCTCTCCTGGTGTCGCTGTTGAAATAGCGATACACAGGTGGATTCTCCAACGTGTAACAAATGACAGCGAAAATCTCGTCATCTGTCAGACCAGCGCGGCCAGAATTGATTTCAAGTGTTTCTTTCATTTGAGGCCATTTCTTCATGGCTTCTTCATATCCAGCGTGAATAAGAGCGTTCTTTTTACCCTCGTATGCCAATCCCCTCCTCATCATCGTCACCATGATTTCACCGGGAAAGGACACAGCGAAGCTGCTTTCTGCAAGCCCCATTTGTATAACGTTCGCAAAGGTGGAGAACCTATTATATTCAGTCTCTGAAACTGCGGCTGGATGTATCACTTTCAGAGGAAAGAACCCTTCCGGCGGGATGTGGACGAAGGGATTCGTTTCAGTGCCTAAGTTAATCTGTACCCTCTCTCCTCTCATGAGGGACAAGCATGGATAGACAGCCCCCTCGAACGTTACTCCTGAAAAGGCGCAGCCCATTTCTCCTTCCCAATCACCGTTCAAACCGAAGCTAACCTCTCCGTCTTCCAAATTGACAGCCATGCTAATCACATCACCAGCCTTCCACCGTCGGCCATATTGTTTTTTCTTATTATTGTGCCACTTCAAACCCCTCATTCCGTCGTAGGCCCACGAATGCTGATCATCCCCACAGCCTTTGCCTTCGTCAGCTACGGCCGTAAAGCTTTCGTCTGCCCACCCAAGCTGCATGTAGCCGCCTGTATTTGTTTTGCATTCAAAATAAAACTTTCCTTGTGTTTGCCGAAGTGGTTTCAGCACTACAGTCGGAGCGGCGCGCTGCGCAAAGATTTCTATCGGCGGGCCCTCCAGAATGACGGCTGCCTCTTGGTAGCTATCAGCTCCTTCGACTGTTGCCAAAGCTTTGTAGTCCATATCCATGGTTCAGCCACTGTCTTTCTATATCACTAAGTTGAATGCTGCCAAAAGATTATTTCCACTTATCGCTCTATTGAAAGTTTGATGTTGCACGGAGCTCAATATTGAGTGCTCGTAACTTTTGCGTGCATTATTTCACGCGCTTAACTATATAGGCAAAGGCCGTTTGCTCGATTTTCCCCGTAATTAGGAAGACTTTGTCTCTTCAGCGTATTCACGAGAACTCGGTGCGCCATTTATTTTTTCCTTATTTTGATACATACTCAGTATACCCTTTGATCCTTTGTTTTGGTATCTACGAGTCGCTAGTTATTCCCTTCGCGATTATAGGAAACGACGCGTAGCTAATCTGGTAATTGATGCATCTTTATTCATATATTTAAATTACAATTAAAATATTTTATCTTCTGTTAACAGTCAGTTATGTGCATACTTTAGTGGGGTTTATTTATGGTCACGACATTCTCCGGAACGGTTGAAAAAAAAAACCCACTGAAATGATGAAAATTATTATTATTTGCTCTTTATCATGCAAAATAGTTTCATTTGTGACTACTACTTCCTACCATGGAGGCGAAGCCACAATTAATGTTACCGAAATGAGTGAGTGAGTTACGGAGTCCTGGATGGTAAAGTAACAGTGGAAAGCAGAACTTCACCCGATTTTGACCCATGTCACTTAATGTTTATTTCGGAGTATCCTCTTAGATCGACATTCGCACTGGAGATCGTTATGCGCAGCATATACTAAAGAAAGAAGAATGCCTTCGAAACAAATTATTTTGTGCATAAGACAAAACAAGATGACATCTTGTCAGTTCTTGCCGTGACACTGCAGAATACGATAAACATCTCACTATCATTTCAGGATGCTGCGTGATTTAAGACAACATTTCCATGCAGGAATATCTGAAAAGGGGCGGTCAGCGCATCATGTTAAATTTTTTGAAAATTTATTTCTTTAAAGAATGAGGGTTTTACCGTTTGAATTAGCGAATTATGCCTGGTTGATTTCACAAATAATTTCGGCGCGTAATTTAAAACAAACCTGCGAGGATCTCTTAAATTTGTTTCTTCACCGCAGTGCAAATATATGAATTTCATATATCTGAAATCATTAAAACAAACTTTTTCACTTGCAGTAATATCTACAAAGGTGTGATCTGCACATCGTGAAACCTTTGAGGGAAAATTTTTCTTTTTCGAAGAGAGAGCACTTTGCCATTTGAACCAGCGACTATCATTGCCCAAAAGAGGCGCTAAATAGGTCCGAAGTACCATACCTCGAGTATATTCGATGGAATGATGGAACGGTGGAATGGCGGAATGACGGAATATCATAACGCACAATGCCTTGTTGTATGAAACAAACGTCCCACAAAAATCGAATTGCAATGAATTAAGAAAGTCATTTATGATGTAAAGGGAAAATTAAAGAAAGGGTAGTTTACAACATGTAAGCTTTCATGTGATGTAAGTTTCATTAGATTTGGTTTCGAATTTCGCCGGATGAACTCACATTAAATTCATCTTTCGTTGTGCTTAACATAGAGAAAGGACGCTAAGCCCCTTTCTGTAAACTTTCGCCGTTTTTGTACGCGCCTAATTTTGCAATATACTACTACATATAAGCTTGTAAGTTTCATTCGATTTCATAAATATCGACCAATACCACTCAGCAAAATTCACTCTGGTTTCGCTACACGCAAACTGACCATGATCTTCGTGATATCAACATGTTTTATTTCATTTCATGCAACACTGAAATTCGCTATTCTTCTTGCATTTAACGGTTAACATTTCCTATACAATAGGATATATATATAATAGTCAATTCGTCACTGGCGGGGAGTTGACTCACCTTGGTGGTGGCGAATTTGTTATGGTGGCGAGTTGACCAGATACCTTATAAATTATCCTTATTATCAGTATTGTTAATGTGATATTTGTTGTTGGTTGAATATCAATTAGTCACTGTATTCTTGAATTACCTTTCTCAGGTGGAACAGGATACTCATAAATATGTGGGGTATTCGGTTAGATCGCACCATGGTTAGATCGTTCCCAATTAGATCGCTCCGACCAAAAGTTGGATCGCTCCACTCGAAAGCTAGATCGCTCCATCAAATAAGTAACTTCGTTACCAACATGAGTTACTTCGCTCCATGCAAGTTGTAAAGCGAAGTATTACCAATGATCTTTTAAGTCTATAAGTGATGATGTTTCTTGCGACGATTCGAGTACATCGTATTCACTCTGTCCTTCAGATTAGTCACCGAGCTGCCGATGTATGATGTATAGCGATGATGGAATAAATGGTCGTGGAATAAATTATAACGTTATAGTCTGAAGTGTATTGAAAAAGATCATTCAAATACCAATACTGTCCAGTGTGGCCTTTTTTGCTGTTTGATGTGAGGAAACTGATATCCGCCATCTTCAATTAATAAGGTGGATTACACTTCGTGAGTCCCTTTCATAAGGCTTTATTTTTTCTTTCTGCGTAGCTCGCATTTAATTTAAGCGCGCGCGAGCGATATTAATCGATTGTTCGGTAAGATATGCACGTCATTCAATGAACTATCAATTTAGATACCTTAGTTTTGTTACCTTTACCTTAGTTTTCTACATGGAGCGAAGTAACTTATGCTGGGGGCGAAGTCACTTATTTGATGGAGTGATCTAACTTTCGAGTGGAGTGATCTAACTTTCGAGTGGAGCGATCTAACTTTTGGTTGAAGCGATCTAACTGGGAGCGATCTAACCATGGTGCGATCTAACCGTAATTAATATGTGGGATGCGGTAAGTTTCTGTTTTAATTTTCATGCAAGACAAATATTCCGCAACACTACCTTCTAGCGTCATAACGCAACCTTTACTTCTTTCAATGTTATAAGATCGCTCCATCAAATTTACTTTTTCAATGTTATAAAAATTACGCTACATCAGTTACCAAATGCAGTCTCACGCCTAATTTCTTCATTTGCCTTCGCTCGCGTAAAGCTTGATTAAATAGAGGAAGAGTAACGAACGATTTTCAGCTGTTTCGCAACAACCTCAGCGAAAGTGGGTGGTCTGGCTTCATCTGTGTTGGCTGCACAGAAAATTGAATCTGATTTTGTCTTCAGTTCAAGTCTATTACTACAAAGATGAGGTATCTAACAAGAGATGTTTAAGCTTGGTCCTTTCGACCATAGTCCCCTCGATTAACTATGTTTCGACATTTACAACATTTTTTGCAGATAACATTAACTGAATACAACTTTTATTGTGATACTTATTTACAGGAAAGAAAACTGCTAAAATTTCCATGATTTCTTCGACACGGTTTAAACTAAAGCATGGGCTGTATATCTATAAAAACGAACAGCAATGAAGAGTTTCCTTTGCCATCCAACTGTACAAAATTTTTATCGTTGATTGGATCTTCCCCGCTTGTCTAATCAATCTGTGGATTGTTCTTGAACAAATACTCAGCCTAAAATAAAAGTAAGAAAAAAAAGAAAGAAAGATGTGTCATTGAGACAAAACAAAATAAATCCCCACGACCGATCAGATCAAAGGGAAATGTCGCGATTCATTGATTCATTTGGCATCTGATTGGTTAGGAATTTGACACGTGGTCCTTAATCACTGACTGATTACAAACGCAGAGAAGCAAAACTAATACAAGTTTGGAATACATACTCAGTGACACTATATCTGGCTCAGAACTTACCAAGTAATCGACTGGATCATCAGGGCGCATTTTACAGCATTCTATGAGGCCTTGGGCCAGTGTCGGCATAACGTGCTTCATGAGATAGTTCCTCAGGGGAATGGACTGGTTTTCTAATAACTCCTGTTCCTGACGTTTCACTTCTGACAATTGGACACGCTAAAAAAAATCCATTACTTAAAACTAAGTAATTCCGGGCTGTGGAGGAGTTTTTTAGAGGTACGATGCTAGTGTAAGCTCAACCACTGGCATATGCAGATGAACATTTTTCGAGTAGGCCGTCATTATGAGTCGGCTTCAATACAAGCGTGTCTTCGCACACGAATAAGTTTGAGGCCTTTAGTAACACGAGTCGGTATGAGGTCTGTAAGTGATATAGCACTGATGCATATTACTATTGCCAGGCTCCCGGTAGACCTTCCCTCGACTTGTCTTAAATCTTCCGCGTTCGGTGTTACACTCGTCGTGCAGCGTTGGTAAAGAAGGCCAGTTCGCAAACGAGCAGACAAAGTAAGCGAAAACGAAAAGGTGGGAAGGGGACTTGTGTAATCATAATTAAATTCTCACCGCTAGGAGGAGCTTTCTTGTGCACGTGACTGGCACATAACTATCTCCTTATGTTAGTTAAGCAAGGGTAACTTTCTCACTTGACTGACAACGACGTACATGTAAATGTCCCAGTCTTAAAGCTAAATACAAAAAAAACATCAACAACAGTTATAACTCGTACCCATTCTTCCTCCCGTCGTTGTCTCTCAGCCGCTTCTTCTGCATCTCGTTTTTCACGTTCTTCTCGTGCTTTTCGTTCCTTTTCAAGCTGCACGAACAAAAAAAAAAAGAAAAAGAGACTGAATTTTAACAATATTGTAAACTCCCCCTTGAAAAGACTGCAGTCCCACTCTAAAAATTCAACCACTGCATTAACATAAAGAGCGCAAAAGTACAACTGCTGCGAGAACATGTAAAGTGGTTGCCATAGTAATTGACAATACGTTCACCCTTTCTTCTCAATAGATTTAATTTCTCCAAAGGCACTCAAAATGTGAACAACGTACCCGCTTCTCTGTTTCAATTCTTTCCATCTCTGCCAACTCTTCTGGTGTTGGACCTAAATAACAATAATAATAAAAACAATAATGCAATAAACATAAGGACAAATGAAGTAATGCTTCACTGTTGGTCTTGTGTAAACTCCTATGCAGTTTATATTTCTGTGCCCACATAGTTGCCTAAGCTTTTCACCCTTACATCAGTATGCATATTCTCTATACTGTCCACCGTACATTCCCTAGGGTGCTGATAAGGAGAATTTGTTTGACAATCAAGAACTTCGAATCCTTAGGTTGGTTATCATTTCCTTTATTCTCATGACCTTGATGTTTGATTCAGATGTGATATTGAAGAGAGAAATAAGATATTGGTCACTCTAAGGGGTCTCGAGTAAAACTACTGTTTCTCTCCCTGAATGGCATACTTATCCATCGCAAGTTACCCCCAGCCCCTCCTCCCCTAAAGGAAGTTTGTCACGCTTCAATAACAATTCACCGTCATCAAATTTCTGATTCCATAAAAAATATTCCACAAAGAATTACTATTTTCTGATTTCTATCCTATATTTTTCATTTAGGATGATTTCACAGTTATGTTCTTACCATAATTTCTTGGCGTTCCCATCAGCTTTTTGATCTGCTCCACTACTTTGGTCATTTTTCTTGTTTTATCCAGAGTTATGTCTAGCAAAGGATTAAGTTTTTGATGGTAAATGAGAGCGAAAAACTTATCTTCAGTACTGTACAACCGTTATTTATTTGTGTCCTATTCATTTTAGCAGTAATCAACTCCAGAAGGCATGTATTGTTTGAAACGTGTTGGCTAAATGCCTGCTAACTCTTGAACTTCGACGATCTGATTATCAATCCTCTAAACTTGCCTATACATTTCTTTTAAAATAAAAAAATAGAATTTAGTATCAGATCAAGAAATCAACCCTTTAATTCATATTTTTTTTCTATCAGATCTTCTCCACAAGAAATACATTGTACATAGATTGTGAATAGAACTCCACTTTATTATTTACGACAAGGTGAATACTGCACTTCTCAAGTTAAATATTTCAACGTCTTTCCTTGAGACAACATACTATGATCGACTCACCGATGTGGTCTGGGTGGATTTCCAATTCATCAAAATAATTCAATACTGTCTCGTCCTCGGTGTTTGTAGCGCGAAACTCAGCCAGTCGCCGCATCAAACCTTAAATTGCACGGGGAAAAACAAACCGTAAGAAAAAAAAAATAGTTGAAAAGTCCTTACGGCAAACAGAAATAAAACATAATCAATTCTTCGTTTACTAGATAACTTGGTAAAAGTGGAAAACAATGATTTTCGGGTCTCTTCTCTTGTTGCCACCTCATGTTAGAGCGCTTTTCGATCGAGTGTTGCATTATTAAAATCAAAGTTATCACAAAGGCCAACAGAAGAAAGGAAAGTGCCCTCAAGAGCCAATGAGAACTCAGAATAAAACCAACCAAACTTCCTAAAGCGCGGGAAAACGCGGGCGAACAAGTCGTGATTGGTTTTAATTTTGCACCTGATTGGTTGAGAGAGGGGCGCGAGTTTCTGGACCAATCATGGAGCGAGGTACAGCAAATCAAAACAATCCCGGATTACTTAAGACACTCAATTGAAAATTGCTTAATTCTTTGATCCGATAGGGATACTTAATTCTAGTTTCCACGGTGGTACCTTCCGTACCTACTACGGTCGTTCTGAGGCGAATTAAAACTACCTCATTGGCGAATTTACCCCACAAATGAGCGCAACTGTGCAACAAAATTGCAACCTTACTATATAGCCAACGCGCACTTAGCTTTTTTTCTTAGCTGTTATTATCTCACCTTCCTCTGTATTGTGTGTACCGGCGACGACACTTTCAGGTAAGTTCATCACTCTGGTTTTTAAGAATTCGTCTGGGGCATCAAGTGAAACCACCACCTCTGCATAGACGAAAAGAAAAAAAAAATCTCGCTCAGCATAAGACACCACTAACCAGGTTAAATTTGGTAAATAGACAGTTGTGCTGGTTTGCCTTTCTCCCCTATCCCGCGAATGGGGCGGAAAAATTCCAGACCGTGGCAAACATTGTTCAAAGCGGGACCAATTACGAGCGCGAGATTTGATAAGCCGGTAAGATTTAAGGATTTAAGATCCCTTCCCGCTGAGATGCTTCAATGACCGAGCCCAAATTTGGTATGTTTCTTAATACATTTATGCCGCTCACTTTACCTGGCATGATGAGTTTGTCGTAACTGAGTGGTGAGTCCTCCTCGCCTTCTTCTCCCTCTTCAGCTGAAAAAAAAAAAAAACAGAACAAGAATGTTGAGTGTTCTATAATTGACGAGTGTCGTAAAAAACAATACCCAAGTAGTCCAACGGTCAACCAGAATAAAGGGGAATGTCACAACGAGCCAACAGAAATTCAAAGTGACACCATATAAACTGAATGAACCGCGGGAAAACGCTAGCGACGAAGACATGTTTGGTCTCAGTCGTGCATTCGATTGGTTGAGAGGGTAGCACGGGATTTCTAGACCAATCACGGAGCATGGCTAGAAAATCCAATGCAATCACTCGGTTGAAAATTGTTCTGGCCAACAAAAAACACCAGTTTACATAAAAATACAGTTATGGCTGAGAAAATGGATTGAAAAAGGTCTTGGGAGGGTTGTGCGTAGACTTGTCAATAATAAAAAAAAAGCTGAGGTAAGAAGCCAAAAGTAAAAGATATCTCCCTTATAATAATAGAGTTTTGTAAAGGTTTATTGTGAGTTTGCCAAATTACGTTGATTGCTGTTCTGGTACATTCAGCGATATAATGAAATTTTGAATGACTGTTGCAATGCAGAAAATTGTTTTCACTCACAAGGAAATCAAGAAATAAAAATTTCCCAAGGCGAGCAAACAATCAAAAGAAAAAAAAATTACACGAAGGAGGATGATTTGAGATGAAGGATTTCAAGTTAATACAAGCGCCTTGAAAGAATGGCATCAGCTCCTGAGAGGCACTTTTAGCTGCATTCTTAACAAACAACAAGTATTGCAGACATGAAGTGCTAAGACAAGATATATTTCCTAATTCAGGCTATACCTGCAAATAACTCTTTGGCTTGTTCATATGTTTTTGGGTATCCATCCAGGATAAAACCCTAGTTATAACAGAAAACGACATTAGCAGGTGATCGAAACAAGAAACAAATTAAAACAAATGAAAGCAACAGTTGTTAGTGAAAACTGTAAGTAGGATACCATAGGGTGGGTAGAATTGATTATTTGACTACTTGGGTGCGATGTAAGTCTATCGGACCACATCTCTAACTTTTGTAAGGGAAGTTCATACAGCTAGACACACAATGTAATACAACGAACCTGGTTTTGACAAGGCATGGAATGCAATTTGTCTTTGTAGAACCTGATTATGTACTGATCTTCATAACGAGCTGAGCGGAAAGACGAAAAAAAAATGAAAATTAGTTTCATACAACAAACCAACGAAAAAAAAGGGAGAAACTCTAAACAATGATTTATTGTGCACTCCTGAGCCATCATCCCGATGAATTTTTTTCATTGCGTTCTCATAGCCTGCTTAAGAGCGTCTTCTTCTTTCGTTTTGTTTGCGTTTTTCGTCGAGCAGAGGCAAGCACGAGGCGCGCGCAAAGGGCATGTCATGCGCGAGAGGACGACTGTTGACTCGCCTTTCGAATGCGCTTACTCCTTGACTAATCCCCTCCATTATGTCGAGTAGAATCAAGACGAGGCGCGCGCGCCGTACACGTCATGCATTGATCCCCACCATACAGTGTCGAGCAAAATCAAGCAGGAGGGATGCGTCATGTGCGAGAGGACGACCGTTTGACTCGCATTTCGCACGTGCCTCGCACGCCTTCTTGACTTATCCCCGTCATTATTCGCTCTCCGCTTTTTCGCATTTCCA